CATTTATGTGAGGCTTGTAGTAAACAAACTGCGTATGAGAATATCATTTTATGTTATTTTATTTTTGGAACCAGGAATCAAACTCACAACCTTGCACCTACCTTCCAGTTAAGTGGGGTGCTGCTGAGTTGTAGCCTCAACCCAAGCATATCACTTTAACAGTTTGTAAAATAAACAAGAATCACTGGTTCTTTACTTCCAAGCACACAATAACACAATCAAGCTTACTCAAGGAGAATAGAATAACCTGGGCAGTATAATCATTGGTGACAAATTCATATAAAATTCCATTTATTCTCCATGTTTCCCCTTGATCATTATAAAATTCATATGGTAATGATGTCTTGGGGGGAGTAGGTACAGGGAACTGAACTCAGGACCTTACACTTGCCTAAGAGGTGCTTTCCATGAAGCTAAATCCCCAGCCCCACAATTATCTTTCATCCACTGGACGACTTTCTAGCTTCCACTGCTGACCTTCCCAGCACTGATCTGTGAAACAGACCTGCATGAGACAGGTCTTCAGCTGGACTCATACAGGACATTAACATAGGATCCAGGCGTTCAGCTAGATTCCTTGGGTCTTAGTTTGTGGACAGATTTCCTGCACTCCTTTTTTTGTATTTGACACTTTAGATGACCGTTATAAAATAATACTATAAATTTAAGAATAAATAAACCCCCGGGCCCCAAATTTTTGATAACCACATTCACTCACAGCACAACAGGTTTCACAACTTTTTAGGATATAGTATTTAATAAATTGTAACTAACATTTCTGTCAATTTTTAAAGCTGTAATAAATTATTTTCTATTGACAATGTCCATAAATTTGGTCATAAAGTCAATTTATCCAACATTCCTCCACACTTAGAGGCCAGGGGTTTAGCTCAGTGGTAGAAGTGTCTGCTTGGCAAGTGTGAGGTTCCTCCACAGCCAGGCATGGTGGCATATGCCTATAATCCTAGCACTCAGGAGACAAGGCCAGAGATCACTGAGAGCTTGAGGCCAGCCTGGGATACATAATAGGTTTAAGGCCAACATGAACTACATAATGAGACCCTGTCTTAAAGAATGAATCAATGAATACATGAGAGAAGAGAAGAGAAGAGAAGAGAAGAGAAGAGAAGAGAAGAGAAGAGAAGAGAAGAGAGACAGAGAGAAAGGGAAGGGGAGGTGTGATGCCAGGTAATGAGAAGGAGGGAGGAATGAAAGGACAAGTATTCCTTCATTAATATATTTATTGTGGAGCAACCCATGTTCCAGGCCCACTTCTGTCTCTCAGACAGAAGCTACCTTTCTCTCAATAAATTCTTCCTACTTTTAAACTCTACTGTTTCTAAATTTCATTCCTTGATTTTAGAGAACATAAATTCAGCATTTTGGAAATCTAGCAGGTTGGGAGTTATGACGCTACCCTTATATTATTTGGAGGTCTTATCTATATCATCCATAGATCACCATATCCGCCATGATGATTTTCAGATGAGGACACTTAAGATAATGAAAAAAGAAGTACCATCAAGAGACGGGCACAAAACCCCCAGAAGTAGAGCTTCTCCCAGTAGCAGAACTATGGTCTTACGGAGGTGATTTTGAGACTACTGAACTGCAATATCAACAAGACATTTGAAAAGATACCAAGATCATTATGGAAGAGTTAATGGCATGGTCTCCCACTACACTCCTTTTCAAAGTAGAAAATTAACTGTAATCATTTCATTACCTCTCCAACATTGTGAATTAAATAGGTGGGACAGAATTCCTTATGTGTCATCCTTAAGAAAGAGTATATATTAGCAGGATCAAGAGATAGTAAAAATTTGTAACCAATGGATGGATTCTGGTATATTATCTTACTTATCTCAATTAATCATATACAAACTCAACCAAATTATTCTTTGTTGTGAAACTTTTTTTGTTACTTGCTTTTGTTACTTGTTTTGACTAATGGAATGGGAGGAATAAAGTAAGATGCATCTCAGGTGAAATTTTAAGCTATTTTGTCATTTTATTTTTACATTCAGTAAATAGGAAGAAAAATGTCCTTAGTAGTATCTGTTTTTCTACCTTGGGCTGGGTAGAAAAGAATTAGTAGGAAAAACTGGCCCACAACCATCACAAGTTACTGAGAAATATAACTTTTTTGTGTGTTGTGAGGAAAAAAAGTAATTTTGTTGAGCCCAGTTATACTTTTGTATTTGTTTTGTTGTTGACACTGTTTGCCTCTCCCTCTTCAGTTATTCATAAATAAGCCTGAAGCAAACAATCTGAATGACATTAGCCACTGATACCAAGATTCAATTTCCCAAGAGCATCCCCTTAACCAAGAAACATTGGTCCCGGATTTCTAGAATCAAAAATATTGAAACAGGTCCTAAAAAAGTTCATTCTGATATCACTTTCACAGTGTTACCAAAATAAAGAAGCACATGAAAAGTATCTGTTAGGTTTACTTTGACTAGATTAAATTTAATTCCTAACTACCACGATCAATTCTGCAGAAACATATGAACATCCATGCATTATCATGAATATAAAAACATTTCATAATACCAGTGCTGCCATGTGTGGTGGCACAAGCCTGTAATCCCAGCCTCTGGAGACCGAGGCAGGAGGATCACTACGAGTTCAAGGCCAGCCTGGGCTACATAGTAAGTTCAAGGCCATACTCAACTACTAGTGAGACCCTGACTCAAAAAAATAAATAAATAAATTAAGCACAATGTTAAATCTAATGCTAATAAACCCTCACCCTGTACCCCCAGTGTTAGGGACTGAACCATGGACCAGGCTCTAAACTGTATTCCATCCTTTTTTTTTTTTTTTTTTTTTGTACTGGGGATTGAACTCATGACCTTGTGCTTGCCAGGCTGGTGCCTATGCCACTGAGCTAAAACTCCAACCTCCCATCCTGTTTGCTTTTTAAGACAGGGTCTGGCAGAGTTGCTAGGTTGCCCAGGTTGGATTTGAACTTGCAATCCTCCTGCCTCAGTATCCTAAAGTCCTGGAATTGTAGGCATGCGCCAACTTGCCCGGTTTCTAAATCTTGAAAGAACAGCCAAAGTACTGAAACAGAACAGAATGAATTTACCTACTATGTATTATTCTCTTTAGGGTTAGAACTCCTTTATCCTGCTTTTGTTGCTGTTACTAATGTTTCTTTTTCTGACAGGGGCATGAGAATTAAATAACTGAAATGGAAACAGGTACATACATGTCTTTAGGGGTTTATTAGACAAAAAGTTGGTTCTCCTCATTTTTCTATTTAAAATCTATATATATGGGGATGGGGATTTAGCTCAGAGGCCTAAGCGCCTGCCTTGCAAGCAGGCAGTCGTGAGTTCGATCCCTCGTACCGGTAAAAAGACAAAAAAAAAAAAAAAAAAAAAAAAACCAAAACTATATATACTACATTATTTTAAAAGCAGAACCTTTAATTAGAGCCAGGGATTTAGCTCAGAAGCGTAAGCGCCTGCCTGACAACTGCATGGTAGTGAGTTTGATGCCTGCCCCCCCCTCCAACAAGGATACTGTTATAGGCTGATTATTTGGGTCCTCTAAAATTAATATTTTGAAATTTTAATACCCAAGATGACAATATTAAGAGGTGATGCCTTTGGACAATACACTAACAAATCTGTCAGTGTCCCAATAAAAGTATGGTAGCGGGACATACTAGCCCACACCTGTAATTTCAGCACTCAAGAGACTGAAACGGGAAGACTATCACAAGTTCAAGACAAACCTGAGCTACATACTGAGAGCCTGTTTCCAAAATCAATCAATCAATAAAGTGAACAAGCGAGGTGCCCTGCATCTTTGGTCACATGGTAACACAGCAGGAAGAAATCATCTCCATGAAACAATTCCTCACAGGACACCAAATCTGCTGCCTTCTTACTTTTAGACTTCCCTAGTTACCAGTACTGTAATACATTTCTGCTATTTATAAATTATTCAGCATAATTATTTTGTTGCAGCAGCCAAATGAACTAAGACAGAAACTGAATTACTACTGTAAATACTAAATTTAGTTCAAACTTTATGAACTGATCCTCTCTACAAGGTGTGTTAATTTTGTTGTACAGAATAGAATATTTACTGTTTTTTATTGATACTATGTCAAATGTTTTAAAAAACCAAAACAGTTTTCTGAAAGCTTATTTCTGAGGAGGAAACTACGTATCAGCTTTTCAGCACCCACATGTCCTGTTAGAAAACAGGAAAGAGAAATGAAAATGTCTTACTAAAAATAGCATATTGTAGAAAATAAAAAAGCTGCTCCAACATACTATTGCATTATTGTAGCATCCTCATGAATTAGCCCAAAGCAAAAATATGTTCCAACTAACCAAACTAGAAATGCTTCCTGCAGGCATGTTGACCTGTCCAACAGAAGAACTTCACCTTGGATTTATTCCAAGAGGCTCTCAAATGCTCAGGGCAGCAACCCCTGAAAGGAGGACAGTCCAAATGTAGGACGACAAATCCCCTAAAAAGCTGAATCACTGATCATAGTAACATGTGACCCTGCTATGAAGTTAGAGGTTAGGGACACAAATTTCTGATTTTATCTATTAAAATTTTAAAATGTCAGTGTTGACACAGTGCATTAGTCTTTAACAATGAACTAGGTTTAAAGCCTTAATCTTCAATTAGAAGTATATAGTATTTATTATAAAACCACCCTCAATTTTAAATAATTAAACCTGAGACTGCTAACTAAAAATGGAAAATTGTGAATATATCTCCAACTTTAACATACGGAGATATACAGGCTATTTTTTTTTTTAAGTGTGTGTGTGCGTGTGCGTGTGTGTGTGTGTGTGTGTGTGTGTGTGTGTGGTGTATGTGTGTATTGTCAGGGATGGAATCCAGGGGCTCAGGTCTGATAAAATGTGCGTTACCACTAACTTACAATCCCAGCCCAACTGACTTTTTAACATAATGATCTGTGAAATAAATCTGCAGAGAAATTTATGATGGACATCTCTTACCTCATAAATGTTGGGGTGCCACATTTTGGTCAAGAATCTGAAGGTAGGTGGTGAATATGGGTAGTCAATAGGAAATTTAATATGTGCCTGGAAAGAAAAAAAATGCTAATAAATGATACTGTAAATTAGCCATCTGCCTAGTAATTCACTCTATTTCATCCCGTAAAAAAAGTTCCTTTCTAGAGTAGACACCCAAGAACAAAGTACACTTTGTCATCTTCAGTGCTAGTTATTAGCATGCTCTCAAAAGCATCTCTTCAAGTATTTATGAAAGGTTATGTTAAATCACCAAAACTCACAGCTATTTTAACTTTTAACAACAGGAGTGAAAACCAGTTATGCTATTATTTTATCTTTACATGTGTAGACTTATATAGTACAACATACACAAATATTTTTCTACTCAAATAATTTAAACATTATTTCCTCACCTAGAAATAGTAAATGCTAATATTCTGATGTTTATTTCTGCAATTTCAGTTCATAATTGCTTATTCCCTCCCCCAAATTTCTTTTACAAATTTGAACACACCATATTTTTTGATTAATCAACTGACTGGTTTTGAGGCAGGGGTCTCATTAACTTACTAGTTCAGGCTGGCCTCGAATGCACAACAATCCTTGTGCTTCAGCCTCCCAACTGTGGGGATTACTAGTGCACCACCGTGGCCAGTCTGCATGCCCTAAATTTTGTGCTCTGTTTTCACCTCTACCATCACATCATTTTCTCGCATCATAAAGTATTTTCTACAAGTACTTGTATGGCTATTACTATTAACATATTATCCTACCATATGTATATATAGAAGACCTTTTAAAAAACACTACATTCTTATTTTGGGGCATTTATGTTGTTTATTATTGTAAGTAACACAAAAAAAGGACTATCAAGTCCTCTCATAAAAGTAATGAGCAAGTTACTAAACAATTTTTAAGGATCAGTATTTTCAAAATGCTAGAAAATATCTAAAAACTTGCAGCGATTCAAGATGCATTATTCAAGCAAACAATTGAACCTTACAGAGAGCAAGCTTTTTAGGTTTAACATCCTATTTAAATCCTGTGCCCTCTACCTCTGCAGTGGCTTTAAATCAAATGTCTCCAAACAGTAATCTGGCAGGCAATAGAGAAGACAGATGCTCTGGAACTTCTTCAAACCCTCCTATGCCCAGATAACTGTCCTTAGTTGGCATTCTGAGTGGTTTCCAAAGATCCACTTGTGCAAGGCTATTTGATCTGATTTAGAGTTTGGCCAATGTGGCATGTGCTGAAAACAGTAATAGACAACTATTCAACTTCAAACTGGCTGATACAGAGGAAAACAGGTAACACACTAACTCAAAAAAATTTGATATCAGACGGTTACGGCTTTGAGAAGTTCTGGCAAAATCCTATGGATCCAGAAGACCATGCCAAGCCAGCATCTGGGAGACAGACACAGAAGATTGCCATAAATTCCAGGACATCTTAGCTACACAGCAAGTTCAAGTCCACCCTAGACTACAAAGCAAGACCCTGTCAAAACAAAAACAAAAACATGAAAAACTAGAAACCATGTCAGTATGCAGGGTAGTGGACATGCCTGGGCTATTTGCTAAATCAAAAAGACCTAAGAAGGTCCTAAACTCACACTGACTTAACTTAATGTGCAAGCAAAAAATGAAGGCTAAGGCAGAGTTTGCAACTGTCTGGCTCAATATATACTGTGACTTCCTTTTTTTTTTTTTTTTTTTTTTTTGTAACCAGGATTGAACGCAGGACCTTGTGCTTGCCATGCAGGTGCTTATACTGCTGAGCTACACCCCCAGCCCCACTGGCTGAATATAAAGGGTATGATGAACACACACACCATCCACAAAACCCAGGAAACTAACTGACTACAAGACAGTAAGGAAATCTCTACCCAACCATTAGTTAACCATGAAGCTTACAAACTGAGTAATTCACTAGCTACAAGGAACGAAGAATATAGACATTACAAAATTAGGTTAAAGTCGCTCGCTGAGCAAGCAAACAAAAATTACAACAAACAGCAACAACATTAACTTGGGGAGTCCAATTTTTACAACTGCTAAAGTATATCCAAAAGAAAATTACTACAAACCATAAAAAAAAAAAAAAAAAAAAAACATGGTCCATAAACCCCTAGTGGAAAAGGAAATCAGTAGAAAAGTTGAAGCCCAGATGTTTAATTTACTCAACAAAGGCTTTAGAACCAAGCTTGGTGGTACATGCCTGCAGCCTGCCAACAGTGGCTGTGGCAGGAGCACTGACGTGAAGTTAAGGCCAATCTGAACTATACAGCAAGTCGAGAGAGAGAGAGAGAGAGAGAGAGAGAGAGAGAGAGAGAGAGAGAGAGAGAGAGAGGTGAGAAAGGGGGAGGGGGGCAGAGAGACAGAAACAGAGAGAGTGAAAGCAACAAGAGCATAAGCAAGAAGACTTTAAGCTGGTCATTTAAAAAGCCTAAAGGGGGCTGGGGATTTAGCTCAGCGGCATAAGCACCTGCCTTGCAAGCAGGCAGTCGTGAGTTCAATCCCTGGTACTGGTTTTTTTAAAAAAAAAAAAAAGGCCTAAAGGATAGTGTAAGTGTCTCATACAGGAAGGGGGAGGGGAAAGAAGAGGTGAAAAAACAACTAAACAATAAATCAATTAGTAGCTTTGGAGGCTGGCACTGGCACATTTTGCTACCCCTCTAATCTTAGGCAAATCATTTAAATCTCTAGGCGTTGATTTTCTTTCCATATGCAATGACGAAGAATACTGCCTACAGAGTTCTCATGAGAATCACACAAATTTTAAAAGAATCTAAAAAAATGAATCCCAAGGTACATAATCTGAAATTATCAAAGGTTAAATCATTTTCATTGTATTCAGGACCATTATTATTTTCCAAAAGAAGAGTAGGGGAGCTTAATCAATTGGAACACTTGCTCTCACCCATTTTCAATTCTAGGAATACAGCAAGTCATCTGAACAGACTACAAACTTAGAACAAAAAGGTAAACATTTACTAGATATCAAGGAATTCTTTCACCTAATGACATTCCTGTAACACCAGCACTGGAGACAAAGGCTTAAGGACTGCACTAGACATCACAAATGAGGCCAGCTCAGGCTATCATATCGAGACACAAATACAAAAAAAGTCCTATCTTAGAAATACATTCTAAAATATTTACAAATTAATTTTTTGCCTCAAGACCACCCCCCAAAAAACAAAAACAAAAACCCAAAACCAAACCAAACTAAAACAAATAAACAAACAAAAGACAAATTCACAAATGAAATGACAAAAGATGTTACAATATAATGTGAGGATCTATGGGTATACGAAAAACAAGATTTGCCATTCAGTTAATTATGGAAGCTCTATGACAGATACATAGTTTACTACACAGTTTTCTTCTGTTAGAGTGCTGAAGACACCTCAGGACCTCATCAATCAGCACTAGCATTTAAGCTACAATCTCAAAAGTTTACTTTTACTTTTGTATTAGAGAATTTTAAACATATAAAACTAAAAAAAGAAAGTGACTTAATATAAAGCTTTTAAAAAATGTTTTAATGTGTTTTACATAATCATATTAACACAAATGCACCACTACTAACCAAGTGAACTTGATGGAACTTGGCAAGGAGATTAAAAAGTTTACATAAAAGAGCAAATGCAGACATGTGTGGTAATATGTGCCTGTAATCCTGGTACTCTCAGAGGCCAAGACAGGAGGGTCACAAGTTTAAGGGTAGGCTGAACATGGTGGTGCACATCTGTAATGTTAGCACTCAGGTAGCTGAGGCAGGATGATCTCTGTGAGTCTGAATGAAGATTACCTATAACACACAGTCAGTTTAAGGCCAGCCTGGATTATGTAGTGAGATCCTGCCTCAAAAATAAAAAATAAAAATAAAAAACAATAATACTAATAAAACAAGTTAAAGAAGTTTAAGGGCAGCCTGGGCAACTTAATTTTTTTAATCATTTTTATTTTTTCATTGGTATATGTTTACTGCAATGATCACAATCAGAGAGAATCTGTACATATACAATGTATATTGATTCTTATTTTCCCTTTCCCTTCCCCTCCCTTAAACCCTTCTTCCCATCCTCATTTACAAAATCTTTTTTTCCATTTTTCTCCTTTTCATTTGAACAATTTTATTAAAAGACAATGTCTCATAATAAAAAGGGGTAAAGCTGTAGCTCAGTAGTAGGTGCCCCTGGGTTAAATCCTCAGTACTGCCAAAAACAGCAAAACAAAAATATAGATAACTCTTTTTTCTGTTTTTGAGACAAGGTCATACTACGCAGCCCAGGCTAGCCTCAAAACTCACTGCAGTATTCCTGGCAATCCTCATGCGTCTGGCTCTGAAGTGCTAGTGCCAGGATTACAGATATGCCCCACCATATGTAATGACATTTCTAATTAAGAAACAGTAAGTGAGGAGATATGTCTCACTGGAGACAAAGCAACCTATAATACTGTGATAACTAAAAAAGGAAATGAAGGCTGGGCAAAGTAATGCATGTATTTGGGAGGCTGAGGCAGGAGAACTGCCACAAATTCAAGGCCAGACTGGACTATAAAACCAAACTCTGTCTCAAAAAAACCCAAAACTAACCCCCCCCCAAAAGGAAACGACACACAGGCAGATCAGTGACACTAAACAGAAACTGAATATATTTATGCAGAAAATAAAAGTGGAATTTCAAATAGAACCACGATTCAATTAATACTTTGGATGAGAATGTTGATGGACATATGAATTGAAAACTTGACTTCAAATTTAAGAAGAAAAAGATCAAACTTCATTTTTAAGAAAAATCAGCAACCAGGAGGCAGTGAACACCTTTTACAAATCTTTTCTTCTGTTAAATTGCTGAAGACACCTCTGGACCTTATCAATCAGCACTACCATTTAAGCTACAATCTCAATTCTCTCCAAGTAGTCAAGGGTTCAGGTTAGTAGCAAAAGAATTAACTGTTCTGTAGCCATAGTAAGAAAGTCACCAGAACTGCTTTTAAATTTCTTAATCAATACTTGACAGTTTAACAACAGAAGCAAAAGAGCCAATTTTAAATCACTTA